CCAATCTCATTTACATGATTCAGTAGAAGGTCCTGCGAGAAATCCTCATTTTGCTCATGGAAATGAAACCCTACCTAGAATTGGTGCTAGTCAAGGTCATTTCCGTGCTCGTCTTTTGTCTCAAAAAGATAAGCAATTCATTCCTTATCAATCTCCTTCGCGGGATGATGATGCTGCCCCCATAAGGGAATTGGATTCAACCATACTTAATGTTGGAACAAACTCTCACTTTGCTGATCACCAAATTGTTGTGCCAGAAAATCTCCATGCTCAACCTAGTGGTCAAGTTTTGCATAACAACAATGCAACACGAATTGAGAAGAAACGAAAGGTATCTTTGAGCAATCTGTTAATGTTGTAATTTTGCTCAGTAATCTCTTTGGATTTTTAATATATTCTTTGCAAAGGTGGTTTAATAATTTTAATCATATTCACGTAGAGTGATGATGTTCGCGACGTAGAAGCACATGAGATGAAAATCCGTAAAGAGCTTGAGAAGCAAGATAACCTTAGACGAAAGGTTTATTGAAATGAACTCAGTTTCTATTATAAAGGGTTAAAATGAATTGCATTAACATTCTTTTAATTAATTTCTCTTCCCCGCGTCCCTCCCATCTTTAGAGCGAAGAGCGCATGAAAAAAGAAATAGAGAAACAAGATCGTGAAAGAAAGAAGGAAGAAGAAAGGCTAATGCGCGAAAGACAGCGAGAAGAGGAAAAAGCAAGGCGAGAGCAAAAACGTGAAATTGAGCGGAAGGAAAAGTTTTTGCTGAAAGAGAATTTAAGAGTGAGTATGCAAGCTTAGCGATGGTAACTTTCTGTTGACTAATATTTAGACATCTGAGAATACTTGATTTATTTTCACATATTTTATCTTAAAAGGCAGAAAAAATGAGAATTAGAGAAGAGCTTCGCAAAGAGAAAGAAGCAGAGAGAAGGAAAGCTGCCCTAGAGAAAGCAACTGCTCGGAGGATAGCTAAGGAATCTATGGAACTTATTGAGGATGAACAGTTAGAAATGATGGAGTTGGCTGCGTCAAGCAAGGGGTTTACCTCTATTATTCATCTTGATTTTGATACTCTGCAACACATTGAGTCATTTAGGGGTGAGCAATTTTTATTTTATTTTGCCATCTTTAATTTTATATAATCAGTATGTTTGGGGTTCAATTTATTTGAAAACTGAAAAGGGAATCCATTTCTATGTTTATTACTGATACATTATTCTTATATTATAGATTCATTGTGTGTTTTCCCACCAAAGAGTGTAAAGCTAAGAAAACCATTTGCAATCAAACCCTGGATCAACTCAGAAAAGAATGTTGGCAATCTTCTCATGGTATGTTCTCATTATCTCTTTTGCTTCTTGATGACATGCATAGTATACAAATTCCTTAATTTACCATTCACCACATTCCCTATCTTTCTGCCATCTATAATCGTGGAAGTTTAGTGTGTGGTGCTTGTTTCCTTAGTCAGCAGTTCTGTGGATGTACTGATTTCCTTCTTTCTTTCGATAATTCCTTGTGTTAATGTTTCTAAATTGAAGGTTTGAAAGCTGTAGTGGTCTGTTTCAGGTTTGGAGATTTTTGATTACTTTTGCTGATGTTCTGGAGTTATGGTCTTTTACTCTAGATGAGTTTGTTCAAGCATTTCATGACTATGTGAGTTACTGTGGACTTTGCTAGTAATTTCATGCTATCAGTTTAACTACTTTTTTTCACTAATCATTCTGGGTGTTCAAATAATTTTATCTCAGGACTCAAGATTGTTGGGTGAGATACATATTGCTCTTCTTAAGGTGATAATAAAAGACATTGAAGATGTTGCAAGGACACCTACAGGACTAGGAATGAATCAAAATGGTGCTGCTAACTCTGGAGGTGGTCATCCAGAGATTGTGGAAGGGGTAAGTTCAAGGATTTTAGAATTTTGCCCTTTTTTTTGTTCTGATGAATAGTAGTTTTATTTATCAGACACCATTCATGTAATATTGCTTTGTCATGTCAGGCATATGCATGGGGTTTTGACATACGGAATTGGCATAAGCACTTGAATCTATTGACATGGCCTGAAATTTTCCGACAGCTAGCATTGTCTGCAGGATATGGACCACAGTTGAAGAAAAGAAGTATTACCTGGTCATATGCAAATAATAAAGACGAGGTTCAGTTCTTACTTTTACTTTATATTTTTAGATGCAGCTTTAAAGATTCTTGCGATACGTGAATACTTCCACATTCCAATGATTTAAGACAGTATTATACAATTAAGTTAAAATTTGAGTTGGCTGATTTCTTATTTAGCTATTTTATTCATCCTGAACCGCTGGGAAACTTTGGTTACCATAAAATATTTTTCTGACAATTTTGTTTTGCATGCATTTAAGTAAACAATTTGAATGCTTTCCTTTTGGGGTTTAAATGTTATTTTTTGAACAAGTGATTGAAATGTATATCTAAAATACAGGGAAAAAGTTGTGAAGATGTCATTTCTAAACTTCGTAATGGTTCAGCAGCAGAAAATGCAGTTGCAAAAATGCACGAGAGAGGTCTGTTAGCCCCACGAAGATCTAGACATCGATTAACTCCTGGTACAGTTAAGTTTGCAGCATTTCATGTTCTATCCCTTGAGGGTGACAGGGGATTGACAGTATTAGAGCTTGCAGAAAAAATTCAGGTGAGTTCACACTTGCATATCCATATTAAGTTATCTTTTGTATTGTCAGGTTTGCTGTTAACTTCGTATATCTCTTTACCTGTCAGAAATCTGGTCTTCGTGACCTGACAACTAGCAAGACACCTGAGGCATCAATTTCTGTTGCCTTAACAAGAGATACCAAGCTTTTTGAAAGAATAGCTCCATCTACATATTGTGTGCGTCAGGCTTTTAGAAAGAACCCTGCAGATGCTGAATCCATTCTTTCAGAAGCAAGAAAGAAAATTCAGATATTTGAAAATGGGTTTCTAGCTGAGGAGGATGCTGATGATGTTGAAAGAGAAGAATCAGAAAGTGAAGAAATTGACGAGGACCCTGAAGTTGATGATTTGGTAAATTCGTCAGGGGCAAACAAACAATCTGAACCTTGTGATGATTTCTTATCAAATGGAAAAGAAAATTTGGGCCATGATGTTGGAACTCAAGGTGAGTTTGATAAGGATCTACCTCATTTTGCTGAGAGTGGTTCCAAGAAGGTTGAAGCTCCAATTGCTGTAACTGGGCAGCAACCTGGTGCATGTGAAGATCTGAATGTTGGAAATCTTGGTGAAGAGAATATGGAAATTGATGAGAGCAAGCCTGGAGAGTCATGGGTTCAAGGGCTTGCAGAAGGAGAATATTCTGACCTCAGTGTAGAGGAGCGTCTAAATGCACTTGTTGTGCTAGTTGGTGTGGCAAATGAAGGAAATTCAATCCGAATTGTTCTCGAGGTAAACTTTATTCCATATAATGTATTTTTTCCTGAAGTTATTTTGTGTATGTTGTTTATCAAATTGACATGAGTTGTTGTTCAGGATCGTTTGGAAGCAGCAAATGCCCTGAAGAAACAGATGTGGGCAGAAGCACAACTGGATAAATTTCGATTAAAAGATGATATTTTCAGTAAATCTGATTTTCCATCTATCAATGGAAATAAAGTTGAAATACAATACTCGTGTCCTGCTATGGAGGGACACCAAAGCCCATTGGTTGGCCTTAAAATTGACAACAAAAGTAATAATGTGCCCTCTCCCAGCACTGCAGAAAATAAAAAAGCAGCTTCTGTACAGAGCATGTCTATTGAAAAACACTCTTCAGTTCAAGATCTCTGCACTGGCTCAGATAATCCTCAGATTCAGTCATTTGCACAATATTCAAAAAGGTCACGGTCACAGCTGAAATCTTATATTTTCCACATAGCAGAGGAGATGTGTGCCTACAGATCCTTACCCCTTGGGCAAGATCGAAGACGTAACCGTTATTGGCAATTTGTTGCATCTGCTTCTTCCAATGATCCTGGCTCTGGCAGGATCTTTGTTGAATATCTTGATGGGAATTGGAGGCTTATTGATACTGAAGAGGTAAACTACATGTGGTCTAGTTTCGTTTTCCTTTCTTCTTTCTCATTGCTGACTTCAATAATAGATATCTTATACCACCATAAAATTGCACTGATTATTGAACCAGTGAAAGCATTTATTTATGGTTGAACTTCTGTGTCAGTGTTTGTATTACAGCTGAAGGTATATTATATAGGTGTGTGTGTGTGTGTGTATATATATATATATATATATATATATATATATATATATATATATATATATATATATAAACATAAAGCAAAAATTACCAAAAGGTACTGGACTAGGTGCTAAAAATGGTTTGCTCATTAACATGGGGATTTACATTCAGCAGTTTGAGTCTTGCGCAACTAAGTCTGAGCATTTTCTAACAATAATTAAACAAAGAACCCATTTATAAGCAAACAGGCAAGTTTGTGTGGTTCGATCGCTTCCTTGTGGAGCTGGTTTTTGCATCGGTGGTTTCTTTACTGCCTGCCTTGACTTACCCAATGGTCTGGTCTATGATAACCAGTCTGACCAGTTGGTCGGTCCAGTTCCTAAAACACTACATTAAACTCATTTCCTCATGTTTCAGTTTTTGTTAACCTTCAATATCTGTCCTTTTGGCAAATGCCATTAAGCAGGATAACCTTTAGTTGTGTTAACATATTTATAAAATAATTTATAATATGTTTTTTTGTTATCATAATATTTCGGAGTTTTTTAAATGATTTCTTAGGAGTGGTCTCCAGATTTCATTATATTTCCCTCTTTGTTTCCTTATTCAAGATCACAAGTCTATCTCTAATATTGATACTAGTTTGTGCTTTGTATGTTGAGTTCAATCAACTCATTACTAATTTTAGAATGATAATTTGTTTTTCTGTTTTCTTCATTCTTTACCTACGCCCTATTACCATTATTGTGTTATCCCTGAACTATTTAACCTTTTTGTTCTGCATTCACCCTACTTTATATTTTAGCAACTCTTTAACCTTTGTGTTTGTAGCCTCGTCCTCACTTCTATGACCATATTCAGTAGGTTTTCTCTTTTCCATGTTGCCTCTCTGGAAGGTTTGTACCTTTGCTGGTGTGATGCCCTTTCTGGCCAGCATTACAACTGCTGTCATGCGTCCCTTCAATTTGGTTACCACCAAGCTCTCAATAGGCTCATGTGTTCTCACATGCACTTCCTCTTCCTTGTATACTATATTAAAAAGGGCCACCTATCATATTATGCATGCACCAAGAATGGTGTGGGAAAAATCCGAGTCAAACTTTGAAAAGAGAACATAAGTGAGAAGCAGCCCTCACCTCGCATTTGTTATGTTGAATTAGGCTCAAAAACCCATGTTCAAAGACCAACCAATCCTTTTCTCAATTTTAATGTCTTTCAGAACTCCATGGCTCCAAATGTTCAGTGCTGGGTATGAAGGTTGTGTGTGCGTGGTACATACCCCTTATAAATGACTTGCGTAATCCTCTTGCTAAAATAAATGAACCCAGTTCCACCCTTTTTTTTTATTCATGGTATTTATCTGGTCTGCTTCTTTCTGAAGTTGCATTCTTGTATGTTTTTTAGCTTTTGGCTAGCCAAAGATAGAAATGCTGTTGAGTAATATGTGGCACTTCTTTTTTATTTTTAAGTTTTATGAATTTAAATGTAGATTTATGCTTTATCTTAATTTTTATAATTTATTAAACTAATTGTACAGGCATTTGATGCACTTCTGAATTCACTTGATTCACGTGGGGTGAGGGAATCTCATCTGCGACTAATGTTGCAAAAGGTTGAGAGTTCCTTTAAGGAAAATGTTCGTAAGAATACACAATGTTCTAAAGTTGGAAGCAGAGCCGAAGCATGTGTTAAAAATGAAGCTGACGAAACCGATTCCAGTCCTGATCGCCATACTGGATCTGACAGTCCTAGCAGTACGCTTTGTGGCTTGAACTCTGACAGTTCGGAAACTTCCTCATCTTTCAAAATTGAGCTTGGGAAAAGTGAGACAGACAAGAAATCTGCCTTGAGAAGGTATCAAGATTTTCAAAAGTGGACGTGGAAAGAATGCTATAATTCATCGATATTATGTGCAATGAAATATGGGAAGAGAAGATGCAAACCTCAGGTTGTCGTCTGTGATATCTGTCTCAACCCTTATTTCTTTGAAGATTCTCATTGCAATTGTTGCCACCGGACTTTTCCCTCAAACAATGGATTTAATTTTACTAAACATGCATTTCAATGTGGAGACAAATTATCAAAAGATATTTGTATTTTAGATTCTTCTCTTCCCTTGCGGACAAGATTGATTAAGGCCCTGCTAGCTTTTATTGAGGTGAGTTGATGGTGTGTGATTTACATTCTTACCTCGAGACTATCGCTTTCGTTTAGTTTTAGAATGTACTTTTTGAGGGATATATTGGAATTATATTCACATTCTGATTTACAGGTTTCTATTCCACCTGAAGCATTTCAATCAAATTGGATCGAATATATTAGGAGGCATTGGAGCGTGAAGTTGAGCAAATCATCTTCTGTTGAGGAACTGTTACAGGTTTGCCATTTTGATGGAATTGATATTCATATAGAAAATACGAACTAATAATCTACTCACACATTTCTAAATTTAACAATATCTTTTTCAGATATTGTCCCTACTTGAGAGAGCATTGAAGCGGGACTTTCTATCATCAACCTTCTCTACTACAGGGGAACAGTTGGGGTTGAATGCTACGTCAGAGAGTGCTGCACAAACCTCTGCCGATCCTGAATCAGTTGCTGTACTTCCATGGGTTCCACTGACCACTGCAGCCGTGGCTCTCAGACTTTTTGAGTTTGATGAATCAATTGTCTACGTACTGCATGATAAACCCGAGCCTTGTGAGGAGAAAGAAGATAGGCAATACGTAGTGAGTCTACTTTATTTTCCTTGTTTTTAATTAGACTGCTTTTGCAATTAAACTTTTAATTGGTTGGTGTTACCATCAAATGTTTGCAACAAGTTCTTCCATTTTGTATTTTATCTGAAAAAATGAAGATGAACTATTTTGTCCAGACAGTCACCAAGCAGATTGGTTGTCATGCTTTCTGTTGTACAGTACCTTTTGGTTAATATTTCCGGGATTGTGGTTGTTTTGCTGGAATTCTCTTGTTAATCTAATGTTCAACAGCCATCTAACTTTACTTTCTTGCAGAAGCTTCCGTCAAGATACAATGGTTCCAAATCTATTAAAGTTTCTGAACCAGTAGACTTGGACCGTGATGAATTCATGAAAGTTAAATCTACTTCTGCGAAAGTTGTGAAAAGCAACAATAAACGAGGACGAGGGAGTTCTGTCAAAGGACGGGGTAAAAATATATCTAAAGCCAAACAAAATAATGGCCGGCGGCGTAGTGCTAAGGTTGCTGGGAATCTAAGTCAAAGGATAAAACAACAGGGAGGGGGATCACAAGGACAAGCTGGTGGGCGTGGTCGACGGACAGTTCGGAAAAGAAGAGTAGGCAAAAAGGCTGTTGAAGATCTTTTGCTGAGCCATAGGGGTGCCTCTCATAGCTCCAAAATTGCTATGGAATCGTTGAGAAACTTGGATGAGGATTGGGATGATGAAAAGGCAAGTCCAATGACTCCCATCCACATGGGGGCTGCTAACGTTAGTAACAGCACTGATGAGGCTGAATCTGATGACAATGTCCAAGCAATGGAGTCTGATGACAATGTCCAAGCAGTGGAATCTGATGACAATGGGCAAGCAGTGGAATCTGATGACAATGGCCAAGCTGTGGAATATGATCAAGGAAACTGGGAAATAGGTTTTAATGGCAACTCCAGTAGCAGATGGAGGAGGGATTTGGTAATGAGTGATGAAGATGTGGAAGCTTCCGAAGATGACAATGGCATCGAAGAGAATGAAGAGGAGGATTCAGAGGCAGATGGTATGAGCGAGGGTTCAGATGGTACCGCAAACAGAATTGTAAATGAAGAAAGCTCAGACTCGGATGTCTCTGAAGATTCTTCTGATTAGAGCACTATTTTCAAAAGCTGCGTTACAATTTTTTTTTTTTATTTTTTATTTCTCTATATTGCAGCTTTACAAGATACCCGAGTTCCAATTCATGACATGGCTTCTCGAGAGTTTTATGGTTGTGTAGGTTTATAGTGTATAATAGATATGAACCCCGCCCATTGCGTGGATTCTTAGAAGATTTTTATAGAAAGATTCTTATATTATTATACAATCAATAATAATCCTACAAAATCAATTCCCAACTTTGCCTCTTGCTCCCAACCACTAGTCACCAAAATTGCAACTTTGAACGTGGAAACTCCCTTGAGGAACAAGACATGGCCGCAAACATTAAACAATAATCTCATTGTTAGATACACGGCAATCCATCAAAATATAAGGTAATTTATGAGAAGTAGATAAGATTTTTTTTTCTTAAGTTGGTATAAGAAAGAAAAATTTGTTTATTAAATTATATAAATAAGGAAGAATATTTTTATTCTTTAAAACAACCTTGTTTCATTTCTTTTCACCTTGGAAGGAAAGCATGAGTATGTTTTCTTTCCTTTAATGAATAATTCCAAAATAATAATAAAATATAATTTGTCGTAGTTTTGTTTCTTTCACAACTAACTCCTCTGGTTATAAAAAAATATAATTCTTGCCTCTGCCCTTTGATAAAGTGTGTTTGACTCCGTCATGTCTTGCCGCCGTAGCATTCACGTCGCGCTTTAAACAATTCACACTCTGACGAGAATATGTTTTATCTTATATATTTTAATATTTTTTAAATTAAATAGTACAAGATTTTTAAATATGAGAAAAAGATATTATTTATTATTTAAATTTAAATAATTATAAATATTTTACCCTCATTTTAATAAAAACGATAGGGCGATATCCGTATTAGATATATTAAATATATGTGAAATTCCATCCCACACGTTCAAACTCCGAAGCCCTGTTTGGTTACCGTCATACTGTAACTCCTTCGTTTCCTTCACGATTCGTCGCATTCGAGTAAGCAACCTCTTCACAAACTCTCTATTATTTATCAACTCTAATTTAAAACTGATTTCAATTTAAATAGCAGCAAGGAAATTATAACAAATGAATTCATCTACACATGCATTGTCTCATGATAACTTTCAAGTTTTACTCCAAGTGATTTTTGTTTTCCAGCTACTCTATGTTTGAGTTACTCCTGCGTCTGGATGCGGCGATTTAGCGTAGATCTATACAGAAAGTTGATTCTTAGGAAAATTATAATATACTTGGTGCTTTGAAAACACACGCTGAAGTTAGTTGAACACTTAGTGTTTTGGATTATGATCTGTCTGAATTGTTGTTGTTTTAGGTTGAGAGAACACAGTGTTTGAAATAATTGTGAAGTGGATAGAACCTCCCTCTTTCTCAAATTGAAAGAAGAGTAATGTTTTGCTCATGTACCACTTTCTTTGGATTTTTTCCAGCATTTTAAGTGTTTCTTAACATTTTAACAGTAAGTTATTACGCTTCATGGATGAACAGAATATCACGTAAGCAATTCAAGGAGGAGTCATTACAAGCAGAGAACTAAAGAAGAAACAGAAAAACAAACAAAAAACGACTTCAAGAAAACATAGCATTTATCAAGGATGGGAAAGACCTTAAACAAGGAAATTAAAAATTGATATAAAGTTGTTATTTTCTTGAAATAAAAAAAGAATAAGCTATCATAATGTTTTGCTACAATATAGTCTAATCTTTGAAATAATCTTTCGTTAGTTTTCTTAAAAATTCATTTTTGGTCATTATTACGTGCATTCATTCATTAAAGAAATAAAAACTGGGGAGTTTTCTTCTTTCTTTTGATCCATACTTATCTATTGAGAAGTATGAATATCTCCATGTGAATATTATCTTGAATTTGTTACATACCCTTTTCTTCTTACATTTATGTAAATTCATCAAGTTCTTGTTATTTTTTCTTGTGCTGGTTCAGACATTGGAACTAAAATGGGTTTTATATCTATTTCTCCGTGAGTTCCCATCGATTCTTTTTTACTTTTGTTGTTTTAATTTATTTTTGTCAAACATTATAACGTGATCTTACATTTCTACGGGTTATATTGTTGATTTTATCATTAGTCAAATGAGTTTTACCCATTTTTCTATGTTCATGTGTTCTTGAATAATTTTTATGATCCAAGTGGTTAAATCCTAATATTCTATCATTCTAAGACAACTTGGGGAGAGATTACGTTTATAAGGTTTTATTTTTACTATTGAACTTAGTTTGATAGATCTAAATCTTGCAATTTATAATCTACTAAACTAAGTCTAAGAACTAAAATTAAATCATAAAACATAATTTCTCTCCATGGGTTCTCTTACAATAATCTAAAATAAAAGTTTTAACCAATTTGATTATAGAAATATCTCAGGTAACGCATGACCATAGCAATGGGTAAGAAACCATTTTAAAACAAATTATAGAACCAACAAAACAAACCATAGAAATGCAAGAACATGTGATAATATTTGCTAGAAGTGAATTAAAATCACTAAAGAAGACAATGATCAATAGGGACTTCATGAATAAAAATTGTGTGAAACTCATTTTGTTTCCAAATACTCAAGACCACAGTGAAGAACAATTAATCAAATTAATTACTTAATTTATTCCATTATTTGCATTCAATAGATTATATAAAAATATTATATCTTCAGATATCAAGGGTTTTAATTACTACTTGATGCTCATGAATATATTACTACAATATTATTGTTCCTAAATGTTAAGCATAAAGTTTCTTAAACCAATATATAACAATATACCTATCTTTAACATTGCATGTAAAATTGTATATTTTAAAAAATAAAATATAAATAAAGTACATAAAAATATAATATTTATAAAGACCCATTCTATTTATTATTATAAAAACTTTAATTTAAATGCTTTACAAATCCTGACCATTGAAATATGAAATCAATATATCTATGATTAACATTGTGATTGTTGTTAGACATTTGTGTAGTGAATAGATGAAAATGGTGTTTGTTTTAGGTAACCATGTAAAAATTGTATTTGACTAACAAAAGTGTTGACTAAAGAATTTTTATTACAAGATGTTCTGTTAAATCAAATGCTTAGAATTTGTTTATAATAACAAAAATAAAATATTTTATTCGTGCATGCCCCTTTCTCCTTTGACTTCACTTTCTTCGCTTCCATGGCCTTCATACTTCTTTTTCTTTTTATAATCCATTCATGGTTCCGTCAATTGCGCATTCAACTTCTCTTCATCCAAAAAGAATAAAGGTAAAAGGAAAAGAGACAATTTATGTCTGAACTGAAGAAGTGAATTCCTCAAACTACACATTTTCAACTACAACATAAGGTGTCTTTATATTGAGTAAATTAAATTATTTTTTTATTATTAAAAGAATATATCAATAATATGTTTTAATAAACTGAGATTAAGAGAATAAAAAAAATAGTTGAAAAATTGCATATACAATTTGTACATTTGTGTTAATGTGTGTTATTTTGAAATAAGATTCTGTCCATGAATTTTTTAGACGTACTATATATTATTAGATGTATAATGTTATAAAGATGACACCAATCTTTGGTTGGTGAGTAATGATTACCATTTGAAACTAAATAAAACCTTAGATCTTAGATTGAAAATATTTTCAAAAGTTTCATGCCATATAATCAAGGAATATTAAAATCAATAAGAATAACACTATATATGACTAGTAAATTGATGGGGTTCGTGGGAACTTCACAATTATAATTTGCAAATAAACCCCTAGGTTGTAGTTTTGTTCTAAACACTATCTCTTGTAACCCCATTATAATCTATCCATCATATACATTATTAATCAATTCAAATTTATTGTTGATACGACATTTAAAATTATTATTATAAAAATTAACAAGTTGACAATGCATGACTCCATGACAATATATTTCTTTTATATGATGTGAAAATATGTTTTTTTATACACTATATGTACATAAATATTTCTTATATTAATAAATAATTTTAACTAAAGATATACCAACAATGTAAAAGAAATTGTGTTCTCATCTTATATATTATTGCTTATAACAAGATTATTTATTTTTACAATAATTATTTTAAAATTTTCATACTAATTGTTTGACCATGCAACGTAAAAAAAATAAAGAGACTCATGAATAAGAAAGTTTTGAAACCTAAAGTTATTGCAACAGTCTTGTTAATTACATGACCATATTTTGAAATAGACAATGTTGTTGTTTTTTCCCATTCTTGTACTGGATTTAACATTGTAACCAATTTACCCTTTTTCTTTTTGGTGGTGGGCTTTAGACTGGTCAAGTAGTTGAACTTTAATCTCTTTTCCTTTTTTTTTTTTTTTTATGAATTGAACTTTACACTTTCACTTTATAAAATCATGGACAAGCATGATTGTAGGTTCACCCTCTCCCTTTGGGGTCATAACCAAAATAGATCTTTGGTGTAGACACACCAATGGAAGTTTCTTTCGCATCAGTTTTTCCTTTTCTCTTTTAGAACCTCTCTCCATAAGTGGCGTATATTAAAATTGCAATGCTTGAACACAAGAAAAAGATAAAATAATGAATTCAGATTTGGATTTTATTTCCTTCCATTGAAACTTGAAACTTCCAACCAGAAACATGGAAGATTATGAAGGCAACCTACTCTGATTTTTCTTTTCCCATTTTTGGCTACTGCAACCACCTCAAATTAGAAGCTGATTCCTAACTTACATGCCCTTTTTATCACATGAATCAACAAAATTTAGTATACATCACATTCACCCTCCCTAATTTTCACATGGCTGACCTAAGCATGGACTCTTCCAAACACACAATTTTCATGAATACTTCGAAAACTTCTTCTTGTAATGAAATAAATCATTACATTATATCATGTTTATAATAATTCCTACTTTTTTATCATAATTACAAATTTTCTTTTATATAAAATGTATTACTATATATTATAATCGTGTTTTATTTTTTATTTTTAAAAATCTATCACTGTTCCATATTTGTGTTGGATTGTATAGGAGAGTTTTATAGGTAGGCATGCATGAAACATGAAGCATACAATACAATTGCTTCCTAAAGAATTAAGCTGAAACATTACATGTTAAAGGAAAGCTTTCATTGCCTGAAATTATGCCAATATTCGATTCATCAACTCATTTCACTTTAAAGGCATATATATACCTGAAACTCCCTCGCCTTAACCACTACTTTCATGTAGAGAAGGTGTTTGAATAAATTGCACAACCAATTTAATTCTGATATTGTTAACATGTGTAGTTTATGAAAAGAAGCTTTTTGGTTATATGTGTCAGCTATGAAAAAGGTTATTATTAAGAAATGAAGAGCTTTGTATGTATTGATAATGGTACGAGACTAATCTACTTGGAAAGATGGGAATGGTAAAGTATAGAAATAAAAGGATTTTACAATGTTTACTTCGATGTACGTGTTTTTTGGGTTAAGGCGCCTTTATCTAAAACAATAAGATATATACATAATTTATTGGTTGATAAAATAAAAGCAGGTTTATACTTTATGTTATCAATGTTTAATTCTTCAGTAATTGAAAAACTAAAGTGTTAGGTGCAAAAACCAGAAGAAATGGAAGTCAAACTCAGTGCCTAACCCACCCTGCACTGACTTAATGAAACAAGGAATTGAGAGGGAATAACGGAGGCGTGCACTTTGACAAAAGACACTCACTTGATAAACGCGTTGGCAAGGAAGATCATGAGACACCACTCATGTGTGCAGTAAAAAGGGTAGGTGCAGTCCATAATCTAGACAAACCATGGAGGGCACATGGTGTGTGCACCAAATGCCATTCATTATTTTCAGTTTTCATGTCCCACCCACTCCTCAATTCACGCTTAATTACTTGCCCACCCCTTCCTTCCGTCCTTCCTTTCCTCTACTCTCCATATTACCCTTCTCACCTAATCATCCTCCACCCTTCAACTTTTTCATAACACCATCATCTGCTCCACCCTTTAATATCCCATACTTAACTTCCAACTATCATCAGTTGTAATCTACGTTGGGATTTTCTTTGGCAGTGTTATAGGGTGTGACTATCATTACTTTGCTCCCAAAAGGCTAAAATATGAAACTTTGTTTTCGGACACATTTCTATTAATAGGCCATGTCTATGGTTCTAGTTGCACAATCAGTGTGTGACAGGGTTGTTTGGATTACTCCAATGTACATTTTTTTATACATCAATGCTATTTATTGACAAACAGAGAAGCACAAGAGCGGACAAATTATGATCAAACAGCAGAAACCAGTAACTATTTAAGGGATGTTATATAGAGATATATATGAAGAAAGAAAAGTGATAGGAGATAGATAAAAAAGAAAGAAAGAAGCGATGAATAGTTGATATGAAAATTAATTATGTACCACTTAGTATTTGTATTTGTACATTCAATGGTGCCACTCTAATCAATGATAGGTTTGCTTAGAAGTAACGAAATCTTATACAGTTAATTTAATGTTGAGCTCACCCAGGATAATATGGTTAACAAGAAAGCTAGGATTTTTTAATTTTTTTTTCAGAACAAGATTAATAATGATGTTCCTTTGCTCAAAGAAAATAAACACAGTCCTCACTCCTCAGTCCGGCCGAGAGTAATATAATATGACTAACTACGGAGGAGAAATGGCCCATTTCAATCAGCTAAAGTTCCCTGCTTGGGCATAAAAGGAAAATGATACTTTGAAAATCCAAATCCATACAACTTCCTGTAAACAACTCTGTTTTAATATTATAATAATAGTTTTATTTTATTTATATTTTTATTAAATCAGTCTATAGATTATTATATTAATAAAAGTGAATTGTTTGAAGAGTTGTATAGTTTTTTATTGTCAAAATATCACTACTCATCATAAAAACCCTCCTCCAATTTGCACTGGATGAGTGGAAAAGGAGAGAGGGGAGAAAGATAGGTTGAAGCCCCTCTCTATATAAAGAAACTTAGACAACCAAAGCTACTCATCAGTATACACTGTCCACACCATCTTTCTCTCTATCAGACTCATGGCTCCCATCTCAAAACTCATTCCTATCCTGTTCTTAACCACCCTTTTGTTGTCCCTACAAGTTAATGCCAGAGACAGCCAGTTCTTCAGCAAAGTCACCCCTCTCAACAACAACAACAAAGAGACAGAGGTTCCCAACAATGAAGGTTCTGTAAACAAGCCAGAACAACAACAGCCAGTCTTCATACCAGAAACAGAAAACAGCTATGGCCTATATGGTCATGAGACTGGTCTGCACCCTCCCACCACTACAACAACTAACGCTGCCCCCTACACCACCCCCACCACCTTCCAACCATACAAAACTACCACAACCGAGGAAGACAACAGCAACAACTTCTACAACTTCAAGAAGGATGCCTATACCACCAATCAAGGATTGAGTGAAACAAGACTCACCGGCACTTCTGACAACAACAACAACAACTACTTCTACAACAGCAAGGACGCTTATGGAAAGCAGAATGAATTCAGTGACACAAAGTTCACAGAAGGAGGATACAGTTCCATGGAAAATCAGAACAACAACAACAATAACTACTTCTACAACAACAAAGATGCTTTTGGTAAGCAGAATGAGCTGAGTAACTCAAAGTACACTGAAGGAGGATACAACTCCCTGGGAAATAAGAACAACAACTACTTTTACAACAGCAAGGATGCTTTTGGTAAGCAAAATGAATTGAGTAACACAAATTATGCTGAAGGAGGGTACAAGTCCATGGAAAATCAAAACAACAACAACGACATTGCTGCCAATGAGAGATACTACTACAACAACAACAAGAATGGTGCTGCCAACAACAGGTACTACAAAACTAAATCTTTCAACAACAATTACAATGGTGAGAGGCAGGGTTTAAGTGACACGAGGTTTATGGAGGGTGGAAAATACTTCTATGACGTTAACTCTGAGAAGTACAGCAACCCAACACAATATGGTGGTTCATCCAGGCAAGTGAACTCCGAGAATTGGTACAACAACAGGGGTTACTTTGGAAACAACAATGTGAACTCCTACGAGAACAAGAACTCCATGGAAGGGTATCAGAATCAGGAGCAGTTTGAAGATGACCAGGAGGACTTCGAGCCTTGAGCTTCAATCATCAGTGTCACAGTGAAGAGTTCATTTTGCTTTTGATTTGGAGTATTCACAATGGGTGTGGGGCATCAATGTTTTACTGTGCTTTACATTATAAATTACAAAAGGTGTTAAAGGGTAATAGGATAAATTATTGAGGGGCTTTACTTAGTAGTAAGCATATTAAATCTTGCTTTTGGAATTGCACAGTCTATGTAATGATTTGGAAATATGGCATGAAGCATCAAATATGTAACTTTTGCTATGAACATGTTGTGGTTTTTGGCTTTTCTCACTAAAAAAGAACAATCTTCTGTGTGGTTTTTGTCTTTAAACCAGTGCAACACGAGGATTAAGGAGATGGGTAAGGGAAGTATAGACAAATAGAAAGAAACATAATTTACTAATTTAAAAATCCTCGTTGGTGGTCCAACTTTCCTTACCTACCAACATAGATGATCATAGATACCATTTTCAAACAGTGGGAGGAGCACCAAACTATTGAAATTGAGTGATAAACATCATTTTGTTACACCTTTCATTTTTTCACCATAATGGACAAAACGAAGTCAATGATTAGCAATGAATTGAGACTTCTAAATCACTCTCCATTTATACTGATATGATGATCTGATAAGACCACATCTGCTAAATAACATACACTAATTCATCAAAAAAGTTATCGTATATGACAGTTTTCAGAGTATCAATCTTCTTATCAAGGTTCTTTTCCATTTAAATTAAAAAACTTCAGCTTAATTGTAGTAATATCTTTTCTGGCTTTTAGCCATGGCCTATGCAAGCTGCCTAGAATCAACACTTTGTTGGTTCCATGCACATTAAACATTATACACGGATCACTGTTTCTTGGTGGATTAGTTATGCAATGTAGTTGTAGCCAATGGCATTTATATCAACTTCCTCCAAGAACTTTGATGCCGGATCTTGCCACAATTCTTTTATGTGATGTTTGGTGTAGCTAATTTACTGTTTAAAAGGAACGATTTAAGATTATTTGAGTGAATTGTATGGATTTGGTTGGAGCTATCTAGGGTGACACTTTCGATTTATTTATTTATTTATTTAACGTGAGATTTTAATTCAAAATACAATTCCATCAAGACAAAAAAAAAAGTGGAGAATTTGTGGGAGGGATTTTTTTTATTAAAGATTAATTTATAATTTTTTGATTTCTTTTTATTCTCTTTCTATTAAATCAAATAATTTTACTTTTCACTCATTTTCTCTCCATTTATTTCCAGTTTCATTTCCTCATTTTTCATTCATTAAAAGAAGGGTTCGAGGGTAGAAATAGCCTCCTTTTCACGAAACAAAAAAATAAATTTTTACTTTAAGGTGAACTAAACTCTTGTTGGTTGGAGCAGTGACTGACAGTGATGTGGACTATGAACTTTTTTATATATTAAAATTGATTAACCTAATTATATAAATTTTTATTATCTTTTTAAAAATTAAAATCTATAAGTTTATTGTAGTTATGAATAAAATTAATGTTTTGTTTTTAATTTCTTCTCATATAAGTAGTTACACTAAAGTTTAGTATAAAGAAAGGTACATTGGTCCTTTGTTGAACAGTAACTTCTCGTAGATGACCCTTTGCCAGAGTCTTTAGACATAAATAATTTAGGGCAGCATATTAATTATTTGTTAGTTGGGTGTGGAGGGGCAAATAATAAATAATAAATGGAGTATTTTTTTCAACCCAAAGGATCACGCTTTCTTCCTCCGTGATTGGTGGTATAGGAAAAAATAAAAATAAAGTGGTTGCTTCTGCTACTTTTGCACTTTATTTTTTCCAAAGGTTGTTATGATTTTAATATTTAAAACAAACAATTCACGCGGGAACAAATTTTCCACAACACTTAGAGCACACTAGGAAGCAATTAAGTAAAAAACAAACTATTTGCCTTTAAAAATTGTCTTTAATTGACAATAATAATAATAATAATAATAATAATAATATCCATACATTTTATTTTGTTGTATTTTTATTTTATTTTTCCTTTTTATTTCTATCTTCCTTTTACCTCATACCCTAAAGGGTGAATTGTATATAGATGGACCAATTTTGTTAATTTGGATAGTGAATGTTTTATAAGGGGAAGAGGGTAGTTGAAAATGTTAGGTTTAGATTAATTGATGGATAACCTAAAACACCTAACTCATACCAGAGGCCACCCAATGCATGGAAATAACCATACATGCCATTTGGGACCGATTAAATAACCTTCAAAAATAGGTCTATTCATAACTTTTTAAAAACCTTTTACTTGTTGTTTCAAAATTCATTTAAAATATTCAAATTAAGGGTATACTTGATTTTGTTTTTTTTAGATATGTTTTAGAGATTACTTTTAAAAAATGTTTTTAAAAATAAGTTACAAAAAAATTGTTTCATATCTCTATTTTTTAAAATCAAAGAGAATCACCTATTTTCCTATAAAAAGTGATAAAAATAATTTTATGAGATAAAAATAGTAATTTAATGTAATCATCTATGAAAGTGATGATATTATTAATGAAAATATAAACATAAAATATAAAATACATTTTACCAGTTTTTATTTTTTTAAAATTAAACATTAAAAACTATTTTTAAAAATAATAAACAGATAAACTCTAACCAATTTGGTTTATACGTTTATAGTGTACCATAAGATAGGTGGTGCATGTTGTTGATATATTTGTTTTTTTAAATCAATTATTAAAGATTTGGTATAACAAATTGTGATAATCAGTATTGAGTTTTGTTCTATTAAAAATTTTAAGAGACTTAAAAGCTAAAATAGTCAAGGTAAATTATTTTGTTACGAGATATTAAAAATGTATTTATAGACCTAAAAATAATTAATTTTATCTTTCTACTAGATAATGATTTTTTATTACTAATATACTTAGTGCTTGGTTTTGTATGTTAAAGTGAGGATACAATGGATATTAAATTGATAAATTATTTAAAATTTAACTGATTTTATATATAAGATTAAAAATATTTTTTATATTTAAGGTAATAATGAAATGTAGTTTAAGGTGTTAAAGGTGTTAAAGTTATTTGTGCTTTTTATAAGTTATATATTTATTTACTTGATTAATTTTCTTCCTCTTCGTCTTTATCTTTCATAATTATTTCTACACTTACATTCATTATTCTTCATATTCTTTGTCTCTACCTTAGATGTAGACTTCATTTCTTAATCATAGTTGACATACTGAATTTAGGAAGTATGGACGGTGAATGATGAAGATCGATGTCAGATTCTTGAGACAGTCTTCAGTAACTCCCTTTTGTCTTTAACAGTCTAGTATTTTTGTTGGGAAGCTTACTTTTAATTATTTTGCACCAGACTGTACATTATGGGAAGAATTTGATTCCAATCGGAGCTCTAGTGATCAACTTGGTCTTAAAGACTTTTTTGTCAGCTGCAAAAAATAGGAGGTTTCCTTTTTCTAAAATTCTTTAGGATGTATGTCAGGATCTATCATAGACTTCTGGACTCCTGTGTCAATATGGCTTGGAAGGCTTTCTCAAACTTCGAAGGAAGGAGCTGAACTTCCAAGCATGGTTGTGGAGGAGAGAGGTTGATAGGATGAGTTTCTTAAAAGGAAAATATTGGAACAGTGTCAGTTTCTGATTTATAGGAGTATTCTGACCTAGTCTCGTTAGAGGAGATGTTGAGAAGAAAGACAGTCTCTTCATTTGCAAAACTCTGATCAGAATAGAAAGAATCTATGTTGTCATTGTCATAAAGCTGGAGGGTGGATATGAGTTTGATGGTTCTTTCAGCTTTGTGAGGACAATTCTTGGAGAAGTGTCATTTTCTCTTGCAGATATAACATCGTTGATCTTGTGTTTTTTCTCTAAACTTCTTTTTCTTTAAGAATTTAAAATTCTTCTTCTTCTTCTTGCAGAAAAGTGGTTTTTCCCGCTTTTGCTTCTTGCAGTTGCTTGCATTTTCTTGAACAGGGCTTCTTGCATTTGATCTCAAGGTACGAATTTTGGCAAGCTTTGTTGAACTTGCTTTTCTGAGTCATGATGTCAGAAAAGAACTCATGTTGTCTGTAGAGTTTGTCAACTGCTTCAAGGGCCATTTGGTAAATCTGACCCATCTTAAGGTAAAGTCTTTCTGGACAGCCATTGTCATCCTGTTCAGTTCTAGTTGAAGCTCGGTAGGAAGGGATGCGATATAGGTGTTCTTCAGGCTAGAGTCGTTGAGTCCATTGAGGTGGTAGAACCTCTTACTCATTCGCTGGTAGTGTTTCTCTAGGTCTTTGATCTTGACTGAGCAACATCTCATTCAAAGAACTCTTGCCTAAGTTTCTTGTCGATGATTGAGTCATCCCTTATAAATTCTTCATGCAACGCTCCGAGCACTGCTAAGATTTGCCCCAGTTCGTGGAACTGGTTTTGACGAACAACTCTGAGGTTATGATACCATACTTTGAGGGTTCCAGTCATTCTACAACAGAATTCTTCGATGACCTTGTATGAGTCAGAGTCTTTGACTAGTCTAGTGTCTAACCAAGCTCCAAATTCGATCAACCTCGATCTCCATTGGCTTGGAGGGATGTCGTCAATAGTGAACTAGGCTTAACCATTTGGCTTTGAAGAAGCATTTGTCCTGGAAAAACCATATTTAACGTCTTCATCAGGAGGGTCATAGATGGGTTCATGCTTAGCCTCAGATCGAGAGGTGTTAGTCATCAAGATTTGGTTTAAGTCCTCAAAGGTTGGGACTTCAGTTTCTGACTCTTTTGTAGAATACCCTTCAACAATTGTAGGGTTAGTATAGGTATCCATAAAGGATGGAGAGGTAAGAGTATCTTCAAAGGTTGGAGTTGTAGGAGTATCAGTATGAGTTGGAGTAGAACAAGGCTTTATAGCCATTTGAGAATACGGATCTTCAGAGTCTTGGAAATCCAGGTCAAATGGGTCTTGCTTCTTGGGTGAAGGTAGATTTTCAAAGGAAGAATCTGGAGAAGGTGTGACAACCTTC